CAATGGAGCACCACTATCTCCACCACAATTGCTCAAAAGCCCCTCACCATCAACAGCAGCAGCACAGATCATTGATCCTGGTAAATCATTGCCTAAGCTTGCAACAGGCGTTCCACTACTGAAACAACCCGTATTATTTTTTATATTGACATACTCCAACGAAATTTGCGTTTTCAATTGAACTGTCTGCAATGTTTAAGATATTTAGAAACACACTCAATGTATTAACAAACAAAAAAAAATTACCGGTCCTATTTGACTTTGCCAGCTGGTAACCACACATTGGGTACTCTCAGGAACTTCGGCTGTACCCAATGGAATTGTTTGTGCTGTAGCCCAGTTCGAAGGTATACTAGCATTCAATTTTAAAATAGCAATATCATTCTCCAAAGAAGTGGAATTAAAATCATCATGTGTAGAAAGATTAATAACGTCAAATTCTAGAGTTGAAGAATCGTTGTTATAACGATATATATTACCGACCACAACAAGAAATTCACTAACATCACGTACCGTTGCATTAGCATCGGTGCTACTGTAATATATATATAGTATATAAATTAATTAATATTTTTTGTGTTTATAGATTTGTAATATTACGTTAGAAGACAACTTGTTGTTGTTAATATAAGATTTTCTGAAATAATGACACCATCGCATATATAACCATAACCAAATCCTTGTGTCTCTTCTGCAGATTTCAATCTAATGGATGCCATATAAGTCGTGTAGTTCTTTGTTGTATTTGTAGGCACACTACCTAACATCATGCGGGAATCTATTAATTTCACTATAAATAAAGAAAAAAATATTAATTTAATAAATATTAATTTTATTTTATGTTTGCATTATGAATAGTAAATAGTGATAAATACTTCAAGGTATGAGTAACTATTCAATGCACCTCATTATTTGAGCCAATTTATCTTTGATGTTGATTACACTAACAAAAGTTAAATATTGTGATACTTCATTAAACATATTTTAATCAACTTTTTTATATATATTTGCCTTATGTTTACTTTAGCATTTTTACCGATTGTTTTTAGTATGGGAAGTTATTATATTTCCTTGGTAACTGAAGAAACAAGGAAAAATGCATTGAGAAATGCCTTTTGTTGTCAAAAAAAAAATGGTCTTAAATGTACTTTCTTTGTAAAGTTCTTGCCGACTACAATCTTATCTTTATAGTTTGCATAAAATCCACTTTTAAATTTTTATGCAGTTACATTTAACTTAAAGTTTAATCAGTTATAAGTGGAGTTGATTTTATGGTGTACTTTAGATGATTCAGAACCATAAATGGAAACTGTAAGTAGAGTCATCACTTTACCTACCTACCTACCTACCTTTACCTTTCTACGTTCCTGTGCTACTCTATAGAAGTTGTATATATTTTTTGGTTTATGATATTGACATGCATATATCAAAATCTATTATTCAGTTTTTCATCATCATCGAGTATGTAAAATAAAATCAAAATGTACCCTGATTTTGTAAATAAAACACACAAATTTAAATTTTATTCCAAATTTATTCTATATCCTTTAAAAAATGCTCCTTCTGAAGCGATACACATATGTCAACGCTTAACCCAATCTTCCATACACTTTTCGAAGGCCCGTGCAGGTATGGCTCTTAGTTCCTTCGGCGAATTCTCTTTTACCGATTCAATCGACTCAAAACGCTTAGCACGAAAGGGCAAATTGAGTTTCGGGAACAGGAAAAAGTCGCACGGTGCCAGATCTGGTGAATATGGTGCCTGAACGATGACAGTGATGCCGTTTTTGATCAAAAAATCGCGTACAACAAGAATTCTCTATAGTAAAAATCGCTAAATGCACTTGAGGTAGTCTCACATTAACAGCTGCTGTAAACATACTAATTGACAGATGGCGCTCAAATTTGTACCATATGTCAAGAAAGGGTGTACCAATATAACAAAAAAAATTTTTGAAAAAGGTCTATTACTTAACACACATCCCATATTCTAAACTTATCATTACTTTACGTCTTTGGCACATTAGGTCCTTGCCTAAATCATGCTTTACACATATGCTTTCAACAGAGCATGTCACGTTAGCGAGTCTATAGGTTTCTGCAGTTCCACCCTTATCTCAAAGACTTGTAGGTATTATTTTAGAATTTTATCAAATGATTTTAAATAGAAACAAAATCCATAATTGGGTTAACCATATAGTTGTTTTAGATAATGCTAAATTGATAAACCTATAAATTAAAATTACGCTAATCAATGCCGTTTTCGTTTATTAAATCTGGAGAAAGTTTTTCAATCAAGAATTACTTTTAGTGCAATTTTTATTTTTGATTGATAAATCCCGAGCAAAATGTATAACACTCGAGATTAATTTATAACACTATAGATTTTTTGCCAAAATAGCAAAATTACCTTCAAATGAACAGCTGTTTTTCATAACTTGACAAATAAGGTGTGGTTTAATTCAATATATATATTTATGAAAAATATAAATACCTAGATTGCTCTAAAAATGTTTAGTTGGGCAACAAAATTTGACGCATCGAAAGTGCATCTAAATTGAATCCAGATTTACTAATCGAAAGTGCCAATAGTTAAA